GCCAACGGACAAGCCTGCGGGCAAAGGCACCCCGCAAGCCAGCACCGCTTCAAGTCGTAGGCAGACAAGCCCAGCGCCGCAGAACCTCCGGCAGCAGCGCCTGCAACCTGACAAACGCAGGGGATCTGAGCAAGGGGGACCCTCGCAGCACGCCAAATCCCTTGCCGCATCCCGCGCCTCTCAACTCAGCAACGCAGGGAAACATCCCACCCTCCAGGGAAGAAGGCATAGTCGACCCTAACCCGCATTCCCCTGACACCCCCTGCCCACCCGTGTCTGCAGCAGGGCCCCGCGTAAGGGATAAGCAGCCTTCACGTAGCCCCAGCGTCAGCAGCACTAGCGCCGCATCACACCCAGGCACGGAGCGCAGCTCCACAACACAGCCCAGATCACGCGCGCCCATGCCGGCACGCAAGTCAGCGCAGCAACCTCGCCTTTTCTTGGACCTGTTCTCAGGTCAGCATGCACCTTTGACGCACGCGATGGAGCGCTTAGGCTGTGACTGCTTCCATCCCTTTGACATCGCATTCGCGCCCGGCCCGACTCACACTACCGCCTGCTCCTGCGCGTCGCACGGCTGGTCAGCGCCGCCATGCAAAGAGTATTCGCGCCTCAAACTCCGCGGGCCAGGCCCAAAAGCACTTTGCACTCCTGAGTTTATGCAGGGAGTTCCAGGCCTTTCGGACGAGGAGCTCCTCCGCGTGTCGCAAAGCGCAGAGATACACGCACGCAGCCGCAGGGTCACCAGATGCATCCGCGAGGCAGCAGGCGAAGCAGGCCTGGAGCAGCCTCCCTCCTCAATGGCGTGGCTGGAGGAGGACAATGTCACCCTTGCTGCGCGAGCTCTGTGCACACTGTTCGCACGTGGCGGCGTGCGAGCACGGGATGGACTACTACAAGTCCTGGGCCTTCTGCGCAAGCTTTGCATCCATTCGCACTCTGGCATGCACCTGCCGCCACCCACCAGGCGCGCGTAAGTCCATTGCAGGCCTCAAGCAAGGGAGCATCCATGTCAGCGCACTGACGGCCGAGTATCCAGACAGCCTAGCCGCAGGCTTAGCAGTACTGTTGCAACCCTTCTGCACGCAAACAGGCATCCGCAGAGCCAGTATCTCTGACTTCGCCAACTTGCTCTGCGAGCCTGTCATACATCGCCGACCTCCAGTATGTGACGGCGCCGGCTTCAACACTAACCCAAAAGCCAGCCGCCCTTTCCAAGACCTCATCCAGCGCTGGCAGCAATACGCCTCTCAGCATGACCTCTCTCCACACATCCTGCATCACCTGGCACAAGGCCTCGACTCGCATCCGCTCACACATCAACAGCAGCTAGATCTAGCAGAAATCGCACATAGATGCCTGCGCCCATCCTGCTCGCAAGCAGATTGCCTTCTCGTGACTCCCGGCCAGCCATTCCATCTTAACCTCCTGCAAGCCTTTGCCGCACGCATGCAAGACCCTGACGCACAACTCACGAACCTGCTGAAGCATGGCGTCCCAGCAGGCATCCTTGACGCAATACCGTCCAGCATGCAATGGACACAGCGCCAGCGCGACCTTGATGATGATGACTTGGAAGGAACACACTTGCTGCACTGCCAAGGCAATTGGACGCAGGCAGAACGCAATCCAGTCCTTCTCCAGCAACTGGTCGAGCAAGAGGTAGCTAACGGTTGGGTGAAGCCCTTCCCCGCAGGCCGCAACGCAGTCGCACAACATTGGCCAGCAGGCTCAGCAATAGGCAAGCTCAACATAGTGACAGCAGAGGGGAAAGAACCACGCCTCGTCCTCGACAGCACGGTATGCAACGCCAACATCGCATGCAGGGTCCCAGAAAAGGTCAGCTTGCCTTCCAACTTGGATGTGCACCGCACTTTCAGCAGTGACGACGCATTCGGACGGTGGGTCGCACTGTCACTGGACTTCAAAGCCGCACATAAAAGCACTAAAGTGCAAGCCAAGGAACATGGATGCTTGCTCTTTGAATCCGCAGGCAGGCTGTTCCATTACGTCGTCTGCCACTTTGGCGCAAAATTTAGCGCATATTGGTGGCAAAGA